AACAACTTTGGTGTTGTTTTCCAACCCTGATCCAAATGTATAAAGAGATCCTTAGAAGTGAAGCTCTGGGAGAAAAAGCTTGAGTTGAAATAGACATTATTATTTTTGTCTCTGGTGGTTAATATCTGATGAACATTTATGCATGAGAGCCAACCCTTGGTGTTAACCTTGCATTGCAACAAATGCACAATTGTGTGAACCAGCTATCAAAAATGGAAACAAGTGTATTGGCAACACACAGACACACACACACACAAAATTGCAGTTTCAGTTTTCTAAACTCAAAAAAGACATACACATGTACACACTCACGTAAAGAGATACCAGTATGTCCATACACACACATGTAGACTCCTTTAAAATCTTACACTGATAGTTGGATATTAGGATATCCTAATGCAATAGGATACAACAACCACAACAACAACAACAACAACACAATCTGTTATCCAGGATTTTTTTCGTTTGTTTGTTCCTTTGTTCTGTATTCTGTCTCGACAGCCGTTTACCCCAATCCAGCATATTTAAATCCAAATGCATGACTAAGTGCTAATACTGTATAAATAATATTTTTCAGACATATCTACAAAGAACCCACAAATGTTTGCTTCAAACTTTTGATGATAGAAGAAGAAGAAGAAGAAGAAAAAAGTATATAATTACTTATGGTTGTCTTAAAAATTGTATTGTATTTTTCATTTTTGTTAAATATGTAGGCAGGAGAAAAAAGAGAAAGAGAGAGGGAGAGGAGATACTAAAGGGATGGAGGAATGTGAATGTTTGCACATATTGAAATGTATATACCTGTGAGAGAGAAAAACAAACAAACACATGTGCCAAGTATAACAAGATGTACAAAATGTAAATACATGAAAATTTCATTTTTCTAATAAAGATAATTTCTGCCAATTGATACGAAAACAGGGGGAAAAAAGAATGCTCTGTCATTTGGCTGTTCTTTCTGCTTCATTCATCTTCTGATTTCCAAATGTTCGCCAGAATCCTAGAAGACTTGTAAGGTTATATAAGTTTACATGTACTTCTCTATGTAGCAGAAGTGCTAAGAAACCCCTTTATTGAATTGCAAAGATGCATAACGGGATAGGAGCCAAGTGCATTTATTATTATTATTATTATTATTATTATTATTATTATTATTATTATTATTATTATCCCACTCTTCTCCCAGGACTGGGACTCAGGATGGCTTACAACATTAATGCATTAATGCACATTAATACCTGGCTGTGCTGCATAGTAACATAAGAGTGTGATGCGGCAGCTGAAAAGGCCAATGCAATTCTGGGCTGCATCAATAGGAACATAGTGTCTAAATTGAGAGAAGTAATAGTCCCCCTCTATTTTGCTTTGGTCATATCTCACCTGGAATAATACTGTGTCCAGTTCTGGGCACCACAATTCAAAAAGGATGCAGACATCCTTTTTGAAAGGATGCTGGAGCATGTCCAGAGGAGGGCAACCAAAATGGTGAAGGGTCTGGAAACCATGAAGCCCTATGAGGAGAGACTTCGGGAACTGGGTCTGTTGAGTCTGGAGAAAAGAAGGTGGAAGGGTGATAGGATGGCCATATTTAAGTATTTGAAGGGTGTCATATTGAGGATGGAGCAAGCTTGTTTTCTGCTGCTCCAGAGAAAAGGATCCAAAGCAATGGATGCAAACTCTAGGAAAAGAGATTAAGTCAAACTTCTTGAGCAGGGGTAGGCAAACTTTGCCCTTTAAGGGCCGAGGGACTTCAGCTCCCAGAAGCCTCAGCCATGTTGGCCTATAATAGTCCCATATTGGCCAATAGCTCCTGGGATTCTGGGAGCTGAAGTCCCTTGGCCCTTAAAGGGGGCAAGGTTGCCTACCCCTGTTCTTGAGGGTAAGAGCTGTCTGATGGTGAAAGACGCTGCCATGGAGAGTGGTGGAGTCTTCCCTTTGGAGGTTTTTAAACAAAGGCTGGATGGTCATCGGTCACAGGGAAGGCTTGGACGGGGTCTTCCTGCATGGCACAATGGGTTGGACTGGATGGCCCTTTGGGGTCTCTTCCAACTCTAGGATTCTGTGATTCTATGATATGGAAGTCACCCAACTGTGTTATTCTAATTCCTGTGGGTGTAAGCCCACTTGCAAAGTCCCAACATGAATCTGGCATGAACAAAAGGTCCAGGCGTGTATGACCGCATGGCCATGGGCTCAAGATCGATGGCCAACCTTCCGACGTTTTGCTCTTTTTCTAAAATAACGACGATGCATTTATTGTGTGGCTTAGTTTATTTGGAGGTGGGTTGTGCAGAGAAGAGCTCCAGAAGTTTGGAAGTCTCCATAATGTTTGGAGAGGAAACACCGGCTTTGCAAAGAGAGGACTGGATGCAGCTCTTGGTTCCCAAACGGAGAAGGCCAAACAATGGGACTTAACCTGCATCAAGGTGGACAATTGTTGGAGGTTTGGGAGCTGCATTTAGCCCCATGGGATGCTCGGATCTCCCCAAAAGATCTCAGAACCCAGGTTGGATGAAAGAGCCCTTCAAATAACCCATACCTGAGCCGTTCAGGGCCAAGAGATAACAAATGGAGGAAAAACTCTGATGCAGGGGAAATGTTCATTTCCTGGAGCTTTTCATCATCTTCTTTCCATTCACAGCAACCTCTTCATGAAAGGCTTTGTGTTAAAAGAATAACGGGAGGCAAAATAAAGTCTATCTTTTCAGGTGACTTATGAAAATATAATAGACCGTAAATCAGAGGATGAAATGATTCAATGAATGGGTTTTTTTTTTCTGTGATGGTAAAATAGTGTCTTTTTTTGTTGGTGCACAGAATATTGTGTGTGTGTGTGTTTTCAGGCACGGAATTGTCTGGAAAATTAACACCAAACTTTTAAGATCGGAAAGGTGAACTTCTTGAAAGTTCATAATTCCACCCGTTGTTGATGTGGTGTTGTGGTTTTTAAGCGTCGGACTATGACTCTGGGTTCAATTCTCTGCTCAACCATAGAAACCCACTGGGTTGAGTCACACACTCTCAGCCCAAGAAAACTGTATGATAAAGTCACCTTTCTTGATGGGTGCCTTCAAGTCATTTCCGACTTACGGCTACCCTCAGGGGAACCTATCATGGGGGTTTTCTTGGCTAGGTTGGTTCAGGGGAGGTTTGCCATTCCCATCCCCTGAGGCTGAGAGAGTGTGACCTGCCCAAGATCACCCAGTGGGTTTACATGGCTGAGTTGGAATTTGAACTCTGAGTCTCCAGAGTCATAGTCCAATGCTCAAACCAATGAGAAAATACCTCCTACACTAGAGTCCATGCCGTCCCAATATTTTGCAGATGAAAACCAAGACAAGTGTGGCCATGCAACATCAGAGTATAGTTAAGATGTGAAAAGTTATGAAGAAGGGAAGAAGAGAAAAGCCAGAAGAGGCTGCAGCAGTTTGCATTTGCCTGAGTCAACAGGGAAGGGCAAGTCTCTGCTCCTCCTCCTCCTTCCTTTCCATTCCAGATAATGGAATACAAACGCCTTTTGCACTTTGAACTCTGGGAGCATTCGCACTCATTTTTTTGTCCTAAGGAGAAGGAGATCACCGCGCTGATGCATATGGGGTTTCTCGTTCCCATTAGGTTTTGGATTCACAAATCTCTTTGAGACATTTTAACCCTTGTGTCATTCACACACGCCATTGTTTTGGGTTAAATCCCTTCCTTTAACAATACAGAGCGATCCAAATTGATTCGGAAGCGTGTTCACACTGCCGACAATTGGATCTTTCATAAAAATACCGGTATCAAATATCCCAGGTTAAGTGGGGTTTTTACCAGCCCCCCACCCAAAATGCATCTGAGATGTAGGTGAACATCAAGAATTCAACCCAGATTCATCCCGGATTATTTTCGTAGTGTGAACGGGGCCTCAGTTTGCAGCAATGGAAGTAATCCGACAACAAAAGTGGGAGGAGGATGAGAGAAACTTGGACGCTTTAAAAGCAGCAGAAAATGTTGGAGGACCAGATTGAGCGGGATCGTTGCTACCAAAGCTGGAGGGTTTGCAGAGTTACATAGTGCTGGTGGGTATTTATTGCCAGCAATCTCAACTTTCTGGGGGAGGGATCTCTATACATAGATATCCTGCCCTGAGCTGGGATTTGTGGTTGTTTGCAAAGCACAATTCGTGATGAGATCTTGGGTCGAGTGCATTGAGAGTTTTCCAGAGGTTCCTTGTTTCCCTCCGTCTGTTGCTCCAGGCTTCCTCCGGCAAGACAAGCTGCTGCTGCAAAGCGATTTGATTTAAAGCATGTTACGTAAAAACAAACACTGTGCCGCATCGAGGTCTGTGCATCGTGCCATAGGATAATGCAGTATAATCGGAGGCTCTTTAGTGCATAGGGCCTAGCATCTCATTTTTAAAAACCCACAGCTGCTTTCTCTCGCTCTCTCTTACTTCTTTCCCTTGCAATTTTATTCCAAAGCCAATCTGACGCAAAGCAAAGCAAAACCAGAATGCTAAAAGTGGAGCAAAATTGTTTAGAACTCTTTCCCAGTTGGGATAAAAAAGTCAGATTCCCTTACAGAAAATGCAATTTAAAACAAAGCAAAACAAACATTAGACCAGCAACTTGCAATCTGCTTTGTTTGCTTCATTGCATTGCAGAAAATTGTTTGCTGTGCTGGATTAAGAAATACACCTTGGACACAGGACTCTTTTGTTTCCCTTATAGTTTGCAAGCACCTTGGGGCAGGGATCTGTCCTCTCTTTGCAAAATACAACAAATATGAGAGGAGTTATATAAATAACTAAGGCTGGAATCCCATTTCTGCACAACTCTGCAAGTGGAAGGAAATAGAACATGGGCAGGCAAGTTGTTGTTGTTGTTGTGTGCCTTGAAGTCATTAGCCCTAAGTCCTATCCTGGGGTTTTCTTGGCAAAGTCTGTTCAGAAGAGGTTTACCATTGCCTCCCACAGAGGCTGAGAGATTGTGACTTGCCCAAGCTCACCCAATGGGTTTCAAGTCCAAGCTGGAAATCGAACCCTGATCTCCAGCGTCATAGACCAATGCCCAAACCACTATGCCACAGGCTTATGGCATTGTAATTTCTGGACAGGATACAACTGGTCATTGCCGAGAGGATTCTGGCCATGGCGTCCATGAAAAAGTCACAATGATGGTTATGAACAAAATGTTGGAATCCTCCTTAAGATTTAACAACTCTGTTTTAAAGTAGGTGTTATGTCTTGGTTTGAGTTTTGGAGTATGACTCTGGAGACCAGGGTTTGATTCCCATCTTGGCCATTAAATCCGTTGGGTGAGCTTGAATAAGTCACACGCTCTCAGCCTCAGGGGAAGGCAGTGGCAAACCTATTCTGTACCAATCTTTCCAAGAAAACCCCATTATAGGTTTGCCTTAGGGTTGCCATAAGTTGGAAATGACTTGAAAGCACACAAAAACAACCATGTATTTTAAGAGTACCTTATTTTCCTGCGTATAAGACTACTTTTTTACCTGCAAAATCTGTGGCTAAAGTGGGGGGGTCGTCTTATACGCCGGATATAAGGATAATGAGGATAGAGGTGCTAAAACTCTATATTTTGACTGGGAAAATGGGGGGGTCGTCTTATACGCGGGTTGTCTTATACGCCGGAAAATATGGTATTATATAGTTTTGTGCGCACGGCATTACAAAGTCTGATCATCAACTCAGAGCCAGGACAAATGCTGCTGAATATGATGTGAATTCTTCCCCTCCCACCCTTCTCTTTGAACGTCTGGAACTCAATTGCACTTGATAAGATCAGCCGGCAAGAATTTTCGGTCGGCGTTTAATCAGTTCCAGAGCAATTTCCCATTACCGTCGTATGCGCCTTGCATCTCACGCTTGCAAACTCCCCCGGCTTGCTCCGGCTCTTCCACCATTGTTCTTTCTGGTTGTGTAATTGTCCTGCTTTCAAATATGTTCCTTCTCTTATTCATCTGTTTCCTCCAGAGGACTCCACAATAGGCTTTTGACAGATTTTTTGTATGCTTTAACAAGAAGAGAATCAGCTGCTTGATTCTTTTGGATGGGTGTAAGCCCATTGAATATAAAGCTCGCGAATTGAAGTGGCTGATGCTTTGTCATGTAAGCTGCAAGCCCATCTCTTGGCCTGGAAGATCATGCCTACGTTTGATGTCCATGCAGAGTCATACCCAAATCCAGATCTGGAAGACAGAGAGTGACCAGCCCTATGTCCACTGAGGCAGCCGCCTCAGGCAGATGACCTGGGAGAAGAGGAATGGAAGGGCAGAGAGTTGTAAGTTCTTTAATTTCTCCTTTTTATGTTCCCGTCGGCTGGAAGATGTGTTTGTAGGATGCCAAACATGAGGGCCATTATGTTCCTTGACTAAGTAGGGGTGGATGATGGTGGCACCATTTTGTGGAAATACTCAAGTCCTACTGCCCTCTGTGTGAACAGAATGTGGACTTAGACAGACCTTTGGTCTGATCCAGCAGGAATCTCAGATTCATTGAGTTTGAAGGGAGCCCAAGGGCCATCTAGTCTAACAGGAATGCACAGCTGAAGCACTCCTGAGAGATAGATGCCCATTCAACTTCTGTTTAAAGACCACCAAAGAAGGAGAGTCCACCACCATCCAAGGCCATCCCTTCCACTCTCCGTCAAGAAGTTCTTCCTAATGTTGAGATGGAATCTCTTTTCCTGAAGTCTGAACCCATTGCTCTGTGCCCTAGTCTCTGGAGCAGCAGAAAACAAGCTTGTTCTGTCTTCTATGTAACATCCCTTCAGATATTTAAAGATGGATGTATCAGATCACCTCATGGTCTTTTCCTCTCCGAGCCAAACCTATTCAGTTTTCTATATAGTTCCTCACAAGGCTTGGTTTCCAGGCCTTTGGTCATCTTGGGGTGGGTCTACACTAGTCAGAATCCTCTGGGATGCTCATAGAGTATTCTGGCCCCAAATTCTTCCTGGCTTTCCCCCACCTGCTCTCTTTTGCTGTGGGTTTTTGACTCTCATGGCAAATGATAAATGTCATTCCCTGTTCTTTGCCTGGCCCCACTGCTGAGGTCAGAACAAGGTGCCCAACCATGTTCTCAAATGCACTTCTAGTCTGAATCCATAGGAGTACAGTGGTCCCTCCACATTTGCTGGGGTTAGGGGTGAAGGGACCCTGTGAATGTGGAAAAACCCACTATTCTTTTTACCTAAGAGAACACCTTTCTAGGCATCTCCAGGTCCTCCAGTGCAACTCTGTGGTCATCATCTGCCACAAGTTGACCATAGACTCATGCTGGAGGACCTACAAATGCCCAGAGAGGTGTTTTCTCTAGGAACTTCTAAGTCCTCTGGTACAACTCTATGGGCAACAGCCGGCAGAGTTGCACTGGAGGACCTAGAGATTCCTAGAGAGAACATCTTAATCAAAACCACAACTAATCAAATCTGCAAAAGTCAATGCTGCAAATGCGGAGGGCCAACTGTATAATATCCAGATCAATGGAAGTAGTAGTCCTACTCTGTTCTGTTTTGGTCAGACCTCAGACCTGGAATCCTATGTTCAGTCCCTAAAACAGGACACATGACCCCAAAATCAGACAATGAGAAATCAAACATAGGAGAATGCTCTTGGTCACGTCCAACAAGAGTAGACCCAATGAACCATTTGTTGAATGCTGACTCAAACCCAGTTGCGCCAATGGCTCTACCTGGGAGCAACAATAAGATTTGGGTCCCTGAGAAGATGGTGACATTTCTGGAACATACAGAGATCTACTGCAATGGATCACTTTGTTTCTATGAGGCCTCTGGTTATTGTTTTCCATTTCCAGTATTCCCTTCTCTGCCTTGCTGACAATCGTTCATCTTTATTTTCCTTCTACCACCGTTTCCCAGAGTCGTTGGGGAAAGAAAAGCTTGACAACATTTGGCTTCCTTCATTACTTGGGTATTTCCGAGGCTGTTAACAAACGATCAATACAAATTATTTGTCCAGAGGGAGCCATGACATCTGGTCTTTGTTATTGCTACAAAAGCAAACAAAAGAGAGGGAAAACAGGTAGGTGAAGCGTGTCTAATTTTCTAGCTTTGTGACAACGCTCATTATGGAGAAGTGGGACATGAGGGACGTGGCCTCCAGCGGTGTCAATGTCCACAGCTTCGTGGTGCAATATGATGAGATTAGCAAAAGGCCCACTGTTAGAAGGGCAAGGAGGAGG